TAAAGAGAAGGAACCTAAGCATGCCACTTAGAAAATAATCAAATTACAAAGGAAGAGAGCAAGAGAAGAAGAAAGGAACAAAGAAATTGCAAAATAGCCAGAAAACAATTAACAAAATGGCAATAAGTGCATACCTATCAATAATTACTTTAAATGTAAGTGGACTAAATTCTCCAATCAAAAGATACAGAGTGGCTTAATTTAAAAAAAAATTAAGACACATCTATGTGCTGCCAATAAGAGACTTATTTCAGATATAAGGACACACACAGACTGAAAGTGAAGGCATGGAAAAAGATATTCCACGCAAATTTAAATGAAAAGAAAGCTGGGGTGGCTATACTTATATCAGATAAAATAGACTTTAAGACAAAGACTGCAATAAAAGGCAAAGAAGATCATTAGGTAGTGATAAATGGGTCAATCCAACAAAAGGATATAACATTTGTGAATATTTATGTACCCAACATAGAAGCATCTAAATATATAAAGAAAGTATTAACAGACCTAAAGTGAGAAATAGACAGCAATTCAATAATAGTAGGGGACTTTAATACTCAAATTTTGGATAGATCATCCAGACAGAAATGGATAAAACCAGACAGAAATCAACAGGGAAACAGTGGCTTTAAATGACAGATTAGATCAGAAGGACTTAACAGACATATACACAATGTTCCATCCAAAAGCAACAGAATACACATTCTTCTCAAACGCACACAGAACATCCTCCAGGACAGATCATATGTTAGGCCACAAAATAAGTCTTAACAAATTTAACAAGATTAAAATAATTATCAAGCATCTTTTCTGACCACAATGGTATGAAACTAGAAATCAATTACAAGAAGAAAACTGGAAAATTCACAAAAATGTGGAGATTAAATAATATGCTACTTAACAACAAATGGGTCAAGGAAGAAATCAAAAGAGAAACCAAAACATACCTTGAGACAAATGAAAATGGAAATACAACATGCCAATAATTATGGAATGCTGCAAAAGTTGTTCTAAGAGGGAATTTCATAACAATAATTGCCTACATTGAGAAACAAAAGAGATCTCAAAAGACCTAACTTATACTTCATGGAACTAGAAAAAGAACAGACTAAGCCAAAAGTTAGCAGAAGGAAAGAAATAACAAGATCAGAACAGAAACAAATGAAATAGGGATTAAAAAGACAATATAAAAGACCAATGAAACTAAGAGCTGGTGTTTTGAAAAGATAAACAGAATGGACAAACCTTAGCTAGATTCACCAAGAAAAAGAGAAAGAAGACTCAAATAAATAAAATTAGAAATGAAAGAGTACCATTACAACGGATAACACAGAAATAGAAAGGGTCATAAGAAACTACTATGAACAATTATATGCCAAAACTGGACAACTTAGAAGAAATGTATAAATTCCTAGAAACGTACAATCTAACCAAGACTGAATCATGAAGAAATAGAAAATCTAAACAGATCAATTACTAGTAAAGAAATTGAATCAGCAATTAAAAATCTCCCAACAAATGAAAGTCTAGGACCAGATAACTTCACTGATGAATTCTACCAAACACTTAAAGAAGAATAAATACCAAACCTTCTCAAATTCTTCCAAAAATAGAAGAGGAGGGAACACTTCCAAACTCATCTTATGAGGCAAGCATTACCCTGATACCAAAACCAGACAAGGATACCATAAGCCAAAAAAATTACAGGTCAATATCCCTGATGAACATAGATACAACAATCCTCAACCGAATCTTAACAAACCAAATTCAACAATACATTAAAAGGATCATACACCATAATCAAGTGGTATTTATTCCAGGGATGTAAGGGTGATTCAGCATCTGAAAATAAATCAATGTGATACACCACATTAACAAAATGAAGGGCAAAAATCATATGATCATCTCAACAGATGGAGAAAAAGCATTTGACAAAATTCAGCATGCATTTACAATAAAAACTCTCGACAAAGTGGTTATAGAGGGGACATACCTCAACACAATAAAGGCCATATGTGGCAAGTCCACAGCTAACATCACACTCAATGGTGAAAAGCCAAAAGCTTTGCCTCTAAGATCAGGAAGAAGTCAAGGATGCTTACTCTTGCCACTTTTATTCAACATAGTATTGGAAGTCATAGTCAGAGCAATTAGGCAAGGAAAAGAAATAAAAGGCATCCAAATCAGAAAGGAAGAAGAAAAATGGTCACATTTGCAGATGACATGATGTTATATATAGAAAACCTTAAAGACTCCACCAAAAAAACCGTTAGAACTAATCAATGAAATCAGTAAAGTTGCATGATACAGAATCAACATACAAAAATCTTTGTGTTTCTATACACTAACAATGAACTATCAGAAAGGGAAATTAAGAAAATAATCCCATTTACAATTGCATCACAAAGAATAAAATACTTAGGAATAAATTTAACCAAGGAGGTGAAAGACTTTTATACTGAAAACTATAAGACACTGACGAAAGAAATTGAAGAAGACACAATTAAATGGAAAAATATTCCATGATCATGGATTGCATACTACCCAAAGTGATCTACACATTCAATGCAATCCCTACCAAAATTCCAATGGCATTTTCACAGAAATACAACAAACAATCCTAAAATTTGTATAGAACCACAAAAGAGCCCAAATAGTCAAAGCAACCTTCAGAAAAAGGGACAAAGCTGGAGGCATCACATTTCCTGATTTCAAACTATACTATAAAGCTACAGTAATTGAAACAGTATGGTATTGGCATAAAAACAGACACATAGATCAATGGAACAGAATAGAGAGCCCAGGAACAAACCCATGCATATATGGTCAATTAATTTATGACAAGGGAGGCAAGAATCTACAATGAGGAAAGGACGATCTCTTCAACAAATGGTGTTGGGAAAACTGGACAGCCACACGCAAAACAATGAAACTGGACCACTATCTTACACTATACTTAAAAATTAACTCAAAATGGATTGAAGTCTTAACTGGAAGACCTGAAACCATGAAACTCCTAGAGGAAAACATTGGCGGTAACTTCCTTGATATAGGTCTTGGAACTGATTTTTTGGATCTGAGCCCAAAGCAAAGGCAACAAAAGTAAAAATAAACAAATGGGACCATGTCAAACTAAAAAGCTTCTGCACAGCAAAGGAAACCCAAAACAAAATGAAAAGGCAACCTATACAAAGGGAAAAATATTTGAAAATCATATATCTGATAAGGGGTTAATATGCAAAATACATAAAAAATTCATAAAACTCAATAGCAAAAAACCAAAAAAAACCAATTAAAAAATGGACAAAGGATCTGGATAGACATTTTTCCAAAGAAGACATACAGATGGCCAATAGGTACATGAAAGGATGCTCAACATCACTAATCATCAGGGAAATGCAAATCAAAACCACAATGAGATATCTCCTCATATTTGTTAGAATGGCTATTACCAAAAAGACAAGAAATAACAAGTGCTGGAAAGGATGTGGAGAAAAAGGAATCTCTGTGCACTGTTAATGGGAATGTAAATTGGTGTAGCCACTATGGAGAACAGTATGGAGGTTCCTCAAAAGATTAAAAAATGAAACTACCATATGATCCAGCAATTCTACTGCTGGGTATTTGTCCAAAGGAAATGAAAACACTAACTCGAAAAGATATATGCACCCCCATGTTCACTGCAGCATAATTACAATAGCCAAGACATGGAAGCAACTTAAGTGTCCGTCAAAAGATGAATGGATAAAGAAAATGTGGTATATATACAATAGAATATTCAGCCATAAAAAAAGAAGGAAATCTTGCCATTTTCAACAACATGGATGGACCTTGAGGGCATTATGCTAAGTGAAATAAGTCAGACGGAGAATGACAAATACTGTATGATCTCACTTATACGTGGAATCTAAAAAAACAAAAAACCCGAACTTATACATACAGAGAACATATTGGTCATTGTCAGAGGAGGGGCAGGAGGGGGATGAGAGAAATGGGTAAAGGTGATCAAAAGGTACAAACTCCCAGTTATAAAATAACTAAGTTCTGGGGATGGAATGTGCAGCACGGTGACTATGGTTAATAATACTCTACTGTATATTTGGAAGTTGCTAAGAGAGTAGATCTTAAAAGTTCTCATCACAAGAAAAAAAATTTGTTATTATGTTGTGACGGATGTTAACTAGACATATTGTGGTGATCATTTCACAATATATACAAATATCAAATCATTATGTTGTACACCTGAAACTAACGTAATGTTGGATGTCAATTATATCTCAATTAAAAAAGTCAAAAAAGAGCAGACCTGGAGCAAGTGCTGCTACTTTTGAGAGGATGCCAAAGAAGCTGGAAAAAGTCACCAAATTGTTAAGTTCTAAGAATGAGAGGGAAAGGGAGACTGTAGACTCATGACGTAGAACAGGAAATGGGCTGGTGAGAAGTCTTGTGTATATCCAACGGGAGACGGGCACACGGAATAAAGGAGGCGGAAAAATCTCACCATTGGGGATTGTGACATTATTATCAGAGTACAGATAAATTTAATCAAACATTTACAGTACAAATTATTTTTTATTTTTTCACGTTTTATTCACATTTATTTTTCCCTTTTAGCGTGTTCACAGAAAATCAGAACACCTTAAGCAGGAGTTTAATAGCAATTTTTGTAAGCAAAGTTACATTCCATCTCCAAGTCAAATTGGTCAAAGCTTCTCCAGTATTTACAAAAGATGATAGACAAGATGCTACAGAAAACCACTGCATCTGAAGATTTTTTCCTTTGTTCTCAAAGATGACTGGAAAAGAAAGCATTGTCTGCTGTAATCAAAAACATACCACAGGAGCCAGCCCCATGGCTGAGTGGTTGAGTTCACGCGCTCCACTTCGGCGGCCCAGGGTTTCTCTGGTTTGGATCCTGGGCATGGACATGACACTGCTCATCGAGCCATGCTGAGGCGGCGTCCCACAAAGCACAACCAGAAGGACCTACAACTAGAATATACAACTATGTACTGGGGGGCTTTGGGGAGAAGAAGAAAAAAAAAACGAAAGAAGATTGGCACAGATTTTAGCTCAGGTGCCAACTTAAAAAAACAAAAACACACACTATAAACAGTAACCATTCTACGTATCACAGCTTAGTTGAGTTTAAGATTTGTGTTTAAAATGTCCAAAATGACTGCAGTTTTACAAAATGGGCAGGGTGGAAAGTTGCAAACTTCATGTGCTTCTGGATATCAAGATTTGTTTTAGACAATGGTCATAGTTAAAAACATAGGGTACCAATTATTATATTACTTATTTTATAAAGGAAAATTTAGTGGCTTAAAACAACCTACATTTGTTATCTTTAGTTTCTGTGGGCCAGGGATCTGGATGTGGCTGAGCTGAGGCCTGTGGCTCAGGGCTTTCACAAGGCTCTGGTCTTCTCCAGACTGGACTCAGGGAGGAGCTGCTTCCACATTCACTCAGGTGGTCATCAGCAGGGTTCAAGTGCTCATGGGTTATTGAATTGAGGGCCTCAGTTCCTTGCTGGCTGTTGGCTGCACACCTTCCTCAGTTCCTTGCTATGTGGGCCTCTCCATAGGGCAGCTCACAACACGGCTTCCAGCTTCCTTCAGAGAAAGAAAGCAAGAGAAGAAGAGAGAACAAGCAAGTCAGGAGTCACAATCTTCTTCTTTTTTCTACCAGCTCATCACTTTTGCTATATTCTGTTTGTTAGAAGAAAGTCCCCAGGTCCATCCCACACACAGGGGAGGGAGTTACACAAGGGTGTGAACACCTGGAGGCAGGATCACTGGAGCCATTTTAGAAGCTGCCTACCACATGGGGCATAACTGAAACTGAGGACGAAGAAGTAAAAATTTCCCTGGATTAGGGTGAAACCATGCCTCCTACCCACAAGGTTAAAGTGGGGAACAAAGTAACCAGAGTTTCTGAGCTTGCCTTGCTGAACAACAGGAGGACTGGTGATACGGAAGCAGCTGGCTGATAGCCCTCTCTCCCCCGACTGAGCATCATGCAGGAGGATTGAGAAGCTAAAAGGACCTATTGTAAACTTTAGATATCACAGACTAAAAACCCGCCGTATGCAACATGTAGAACCCCTCAAATTTGCACATGCGACCCATGAAGAAATATGAAAGACAGTCGCACCTGTGCAAAGAACTCTTATGACTTCAGCCCCTAAGACCACAAGCTCCCCCTCCCCTACCTACAACTCCAAATAAAAATCCTTGCTTGGGGCTGGCCCTGTGGTCAAGTGGTTAAGTCTGCTTTGCCAGCCGAAAGTGGCCCGGGGTTTGCTGGTTCAGATCCTGGGTGCAGACTTACACACCACTCATCAAGCCATGCTGTAGTGGCATCTCACATAGAAGAACTAGAATGACCTAAAACTAGGATATACAACTATGTTCTGGGGCTTTAGGGAGGAGGAAAAAAGAAAAAGAGGAAGACTGGCAACAGATGTTAACTCAGGGCCAATCTTCCTCACCAAAGAGAGAGAGAAAGAGAAAAAAAACCCTTGCTTGTAGCTTTTTGGGGAGTTCAGGATTACAGAGTTAGCTGCCCATTCTCCTTGCTCAGCCCTTTGCAAAAAAATTCCTACTTTGTTCTGCTACACCTGGTGTCAGAGATTGGCTTGCTGTGTGACAGGTGGGCAAACCCACTTCAGGTTTGCTAACATAACCAGAGGCGGACTTGGTCAAAAGCAGAAATGTCTGACGGATAAATATTTGTATCCCAATATTAAGGAGGGTGTACATGTTTCTTACCTCACTTGCTCATGATGAGCGTTACGCTAAAAGAATAGGAAAGGTCTTTAAAAATTGAAAAGATAATCTCTGAAAAGAATGCGATGAAGGAAGCAGCAGATTAGAAAGTAAAAACCAAGGACCAAGAGAGAAATAAGAAAACTCTTATACGAGGAAGGTGCATGCCCATTCACTAGAATTTCTACTAAAGCCTTAAAATACTCTCAAAAGATCCAGGAGATGGGAGCAGACAAATGGAATAGTTTCCATGATAAACTGCTGCTTAAAGGCAACATGGAATTCCAAAATATTTGACTGACTCCACCCACTAGGAAATACTTGTGAAGGGGACAAAGTAATGCTGAATACCTGGATGTTCCATTCTGAGAAACTTCTAGAGAAAATTGCCAAAGACTCCTTCATATTTAAAATGAGCAAACTATGTTTTCAAGGACTTTGTTTCCTTAAAAGGAAGAGTCTAAAAGAAGGAAGGAAAATCACAATGTTGGAGGAAAATACTTTATAATAGGCTCTGTCTTCCCTAATCTAAAAAGGACTGGTGGTCTGGCCCCTGCCCATCTCTCAGGCCTCGTCTCCCATCACTCACATGCACATTATGCTGCAGCCACACTGGCCTCCCTGTTAGTCAGCGAAACACCAGCTCCTCTCCTAACCTCATTTCGTTCAGATCTGTGCTCAAATATCACCAACCTAGAAAGAACTTCCTGATTGCAATCTAAACTAGCATCGACCTGCCCCATCCTCTTACCTCGCTTTTATTTTTCTTTAGAGCAGTTACCACTTTCCGAAATTATGCCTTTCTTTATCTGTTTCTTGCCTGACTCCTCCACTGAGATAAAAGCTGTAATGAATTCAAGTTCTTTAGCTCACTGCTCTGGGACCTGGAAACGCAAGCCATTGACTCTTATCCACAGCGTCTGTTGAGTGAACGAGGGGAAAAATAGAATAAGCGAAGCCCATAACAAAACACGTCAGGAGAAAACCGTAATAGAAAGAGGGCGAAAAATGTGAAGAACAATTTGTTAGAATGTGCTACTACAAATTCACGCACAAGGGGGAATAGTTATCTTCGTGTATAATACTTAATTCAATTTTTAAAAATGCCGAAAGACTCAAATGAGCTAATCTACTTAAAAATATTTAGGACAGTATACAAATCTGGCCGCACAGCAACTCTTTCTTCTAGACGGGCGCACTAATTTCTGTGGATTCTCAGCAAAGGAACTGAGCTCACCCCCTCTTTTATAAAATGTATTCTTGTCGCTATTTGATTGGCAGTCCGTCCCAGCAGCCCCTTTATCATTGGCCGCGTCCTCAGTCCTTCACTCCCAGATCCAAGCACTCATTGGTCCGCTTCCTCAGACAGCCGCCGCTGGCCGTGCTCAGGCGGGAGGAGTTCTCCGGTGACGTAAACGGCACGCCCTGCCCACATTCCAAAGCCTGGGCGGAGACTTCCCGGTGTCCCCGCCTTTGGGGGCGGGACAGGGCGGAGAGCAAGACTTCTGATTGGGTAGGGCGGGCGAGGTGAGTATCCGATTGGTCGCTTCCCTGGAGGGAGGTGGAGTCGTACAGGGTCCTGGAGTGGAGCTGAGGAGCTCTGGGGAGTCTCAAAGTTTGTGTCTGGAGCGGTATTGGCAAGTGGGCTTATTGCGAAGGGATTTTCTTGAGATGAGAGCTTATCTCCTGCCTTCATTTTGGATACACACTCTGCTTTAACCCCTTCAGCCTTCAGTCTGATCCCTGGACAGCCTGTCTCCCCCGGGGATTCTCACATCTCCGTGGACACCGGACGGGAGCCCCCAGGCAGAGGAGCGAACGTTTTCCTTCTTAAGTGCATAAGCTACACTCACACGCACACACGCACGCACACATAGACACACACGCAACACACGCGCGCGGAGCCGGATCGCCCTCGGAGGCGGCTCTGCCCGCTCCCCTCCTGCCCTCAGCATCCTCGGCCCAGCGCACCTCGGACCATCATGGAGGTGCTGGAGAGCGGGGAGCAGAGCGTCCTGCAGTGGGACCGCAAGCTGAGCGAGCTGTCAGAGCCCGGGGAAACCGAGGCTCTCATGTATCACACGGTGAGGACTCAGCGGGGCGGCGGAGGGGCGGCTTGGAAGGGGGAAGTGTTGTCAGCGAAGGAACAGCTGAGGACAGGGACCAGGGATGGAAGTATTTGGGAAGAGTTATGCCCAGAATGAAGAGATCTGGGGAGAGATGTGGTCTTTCTATGTGAACAGATAAATGTGGGCAGCTGGCCCTTTTAAACTTTTAATAACAGTAACGATACATTGTGTTCCTTTAGCAATTTTTACTTTTTCCCGACGCTTTTTTACGTCTGTAATATTTCCTATTGCCATCAGTGCTGTAAAGCGGGAGAGGGGGTAGATGTTTTGAAAATAATATGCCTCTGTTTAGTTTACTACTGATTTTTGTGGGAAGGTTTTTGAAAACTAAACAAAATAAAGTAGGATTTTCTTCATTCCCTTCGCCTCCCTCTTTCTTTGCTTTCTTTCTTACTTTTATTTCAAGCAGTACACCTCTGTGTGTGTGTGTTTTGGAAAGGCCTTTCGCATTAGGAGGAAGACTACTTTATTTGGCTTCTTTAACTGTAACAGCCAAGAAATCGGCTTCCTCCCTCTTCAGGAGAAGGATCAGCAGAGGGATATGGAAAATCTGAGGCAGTTGCATATTTCAGAAAGACTTTGGAGATGGTGGGACAGCTCACCAGTTCCTTTTTCAGTCTTATGCTTCAGAGACCCCTCTGGGGATTATACTGTCACAGAGCACGCACATTTCTTTTCAAGTTTTCAATTTCAGTTTTTTGGTATTAAATTTGCAAAATGAAACTGGATTTCCAATAGCCAGCACTGATATACGACTTTATGTGAGATCTCTTTGTTTCTTTTTTTTTTTACAAACGCAGAGTTTGTAATTAGAGAGCGAGGGAGAACACTAATAAGAAAACGAGAGGCTTGGCTGTGTCCCCTTCACGATTCTTTTAATGGGGTCAGTGCCAGGATATTTGAAACTTTTGCAAAATGGCCTGCAGGCTCCACCTCTTCGGCCTTTGCCTCTGGCTGGCTGACGTTATTTTGGGAAAAGGGATGAGGGCCTCCCTGTGATTCCCACCAGAGTGTTTGTGGTGGCTGAGCACGGTTTGTTTAAAAAATGCAGAGTGCAGGGCCGAGAGGGAGTGGTGGTTCACTCTGGGGCAAAAGCCAGCTGTGTGGTCGGATCTGCTGGGTTTGCTCACAGAGCCTGTCCTGAGGAGAGCACGTGGGCTGCTTTTGGATTGGGGGCCCAGATGTGCTTCCTGTCGGAGAGGACTTCCAGCATGTTGGCCGTCAAATATCTTCTGATAATTGGGTGTTTCAGATGTTTCTACTGGCATGGGCTTCATTTTAACCATTTGCGGAGGGGCAGCTCTCTCTTTTGTTCTTAAAGGTGCTGTGGACATGTCTCATCCAGCAGCTGTAATGCCACGGCTGTGGGGTTGTCTTTCAGCTGGTGGAATGAATGATGCGCAGGCGTCCACATTCCCTTTCTCAGGCCCTGCGGCTTGCGTTTGTGAGATCACAGGCCAGGGTTCGAGATGCTGCCTGTGACTGGGACATTAACTCCAGGCAGAACAGCTTGGACTGGCTCTAATTAACATCTTTGTGCACAGTTTCAGGGCTAGAGACCTTACCTTCCTTTTGGTATTAAGGGCTCCGTTTTTCTATGTCGTTCTAATGAAGCAGTGATGTGTGATTATTTTCCTTCTAATTTTATTTTTTCTAAATGACTTTTATGTCTGTCACTTAGGGACGTGTCTTCTGGGCACCTCACTCATATAAAATGCTACTCATCATTGCTGCAAGTCATTACCAACAAACTCTGTATATCAATTAGTGTTGAAAGAGGTGTTGGATTTAGTAGCACAGACGACTGGATTATATTCCTTCTAAACTCAGGGGAGTTTGGCAGAGATTTGAAAACAGATAACTTTCCCATCTGTTTCTTGAACACTGTTGGGTATCTAGTTGCAGAGCTAGTTATTGGTCCATAATGTGGAATGGCCTGACCTCCAAGTGGAGAAAGGATGGCCCGGTTGTGCATTCATTCAAAAATTTATTTGTTCTTTCAATTAATAGTTATTGAATATCTTCCATATGCCAAACACTGTTCTAAGCACTTGGGATACATCAATGAACAAAAGCGGACAAAAATTCTTGACCTTGGAAAGCTGTTATTCTGCAGGATGTGTGTGTGTGTGTGTGTGTGTCTGTGTGTTAGGGAAGAGAAACAATAAATGATAGACATAATAAGAAAGTAAGTGACTGGGGCTGGCCCCGTGGCCAAGTGGTTAAGTTCGCGCGCTCCGCTGCAGGCGGCCCAGTGTTTCGTTGGTTCGAATCCTGGGCGCGGACATGGCACTGCTCATCAAACCACGCTGAGGCAGCATCCCACGTGCCACAACTAGAAGGACCCACAACAAAGAATATACAACTATGTACCGGGGGGCTTTGGGGAGAAAAAGGAAAAAATAAAATTAAAAAAAATAATAATAATAAAATAAAATAAACATGTTTTTAAAAAAAAAAAAGAAAGTAAGTGACATAGCGTGTTAGACAATGTAAGTGCTATAGAAGAAGTAAAAGCAGATCAAGGTGAGGGGAATGGAGAACACAGGATGGAGGAAGGGCAAAATATGATTTTGAATTGAGTGATCAGAATGAGCATCCTGTAGAAAGTGGATCTGAACAAAGGCTTGAAGGTAGGGAGAATGTTAGCTCAGCAGGATGAAGAGCCAGAGCACAGGCCCTAAGGTGGGAGTGCGCCTGGCAAGAGCCTATGGTAAATCACCTTCTGTTTTCGATCCCCTCATTTCGGTCACTTATTTTCCTGGTAAATGCAGGTTACTTCTGTGACACTATGTCTGTTTTTGAAATGGCCCAGTGAAACTTTCTAAGTTGAATGGATTGGGCTTTGTACAGGGGGACGAGAGCCTGCAGGGAGGCTAAGGTGCAGATATAAGTTAGGAAAGTGGTAAGATATGATAATAGCTACAATCTCTTGAGTATTTATCTGACAAGAAGACCTGGCTTCATGGCTCTGCTACCTGTGCTGTCCTACAGGGCCCTACACTTGGTTCCATGCTCTGCTGTCACCATCTTGAAATCCTTAATTTTTTTTCTTTTGGTGAGGAAGATTGTTGCTGAGCTAATGTCTGTGCCAATCTTCCTCCGTTTTGTATGTGAGATGCCACCACAGCATGGCTTGATGAACGGTGCGTAGGTCTGGCCTGGGATCTGAACCTGCAAACCCCAGGACACCAATGTGGAGCACATGAACCTATCCAGTATGCCACTGGGCTGGCCTGAAATCCTTAGTTTTGAACAAAGGGCCCCACATTTTCATTTTCCACTGGGGTCCCACAGATTATGTAGCTGGCCATGCTGAAAGTCATTACGGTAAATGTGCTTTACAAAAATTATACAATCGAACCCTCTTAATGACCCAATGAGAGAGGCATTTTTATTATTCCCATTTTACAGATAGGAAAACTGAGGCTTAATGAGTTTAAGTGACTTGGTAAAGGTCCCATTAGCGACAGAATCAGAATTCAAACTCAGGTCTGCCTGCCTCCAAAGGCCAGGTTCTCGCCCATATGCTAAATAAATGAAGGACTCAGAATTAAAGAGAAGAAACTGAGTCAGAGGATGGGAGAGGATCATTGGGGAATCAGAAACTGCTGCGCCTGAAGACAGCTACTATTTACCTGAAGTGGCAGTGCCAACCATTGTACCTTCCTAGTGTGATCACTCTATTTGCTCTAAATAGGGATTTAGTTACCACATGCATGATTGCTAATGCCCTGTTTGAGCAAACCTGTCACCTACCTGATTTTAAAAACATAGGAGGTTCAAGTTGCCTGAGGCTGATATTGTACGTCTCTCAGGCGCCTTCTGTGAGCCATCAGGACCAATGTTTTTCTCATTTGGTTAGTTAGGAAGCAGACTTTCTGGTCCAGAAGGACAAAGGCTTAGAGGAGATAGGTTCAAAGTCTCCATAATAATGAAGCACATAGATAGGGCAAATAGGGACTTCCTTGTTAGATCCTGAATTATTAGAATTTTGGGCTTTCTCTTGAAGCTTAAAAAATAGTTCCCATACAGATAATGAAATACTATTTTAAATCAGTGAGTAGTACTTTTATGAAAGCTGTTGCTTCTAGAGTGGATCTAGTCTAAAAGTGTGTTCCGAAAAGATGGCAGATCTAAAAATGATGTGTGTATCTTATGGTTTGAAATCATTGTGAGAAATCTTGTGCCTTCCCCCAAACCTGCCTGGATGTTGGACATTTCTGACATATATGTTGTGTTCCTATAAGATTCTGTGCCAATTACATTTCCGGGAATTCACTGTGGGGTTTTGCAATTTAAAGAACAAAACAGTCTATAAATATTATCTGTGTATATCATATATGCACGGACTGTGTCTGGAAGGATAATTGATTGTTTCTGGCAAGGGGACTTGGGAAACTGGAGGTCAAGAGAGGAGGGAGGGAGAGGAAGTTATTTACACTCTATTCTTTTGTACTGCTCAAATTTTTCCCTGCTGAATGTATTTAGAAAATGAAAAATTACAACTTAAAGGCACCATGTAAAACTGGACTAGAGGTAATTTTAGCCTGAGCTTCCTTGGGGGCAAAGGGGGACCTGGTGTGCATTGATGTTCAACACCCCTGAGTCTGAGGTGGCCTTGGGTGAAGAATACAGGAAGCAGGAGTGCCTGGTGGAAAGGGGCTCTCAGGCCGGAAGATTAACAGTGAGTTTGTGTATGATAAACTTTGTGATCCTGGTAACTTTCTTATATCTCAGTTTCGCGATCTGAAAAATAGAGCTTTCATAAATTTTTACAACAATTTTATCTTTTAAAAAAGTATATGGTAAGAACTACTAAGTCTTTGCAAAGAGAATGACAGCAGTTCTGGTTGTTCTCAATGCTAAATTCGTATAAATCCAATTCTTTGTAAAATTTGTTTAGTGGTTATGCTACTAAAATGTTATGTCCAGTTAGTTCTTAAAGTGAAATG